AAAAGAAACAGTTAAGATTCCATAATCCCGCAAATGAAATTGGGAAACAAATGGACTAGTTCTTTGAGTATGGAACTAGACCAAAAGAATAAATGTATCCACAACTAGACAATTCAATCCACTTATATCCAAAAAAAAGGACACTGTAATTCCTCCCAAAGCCGAGCCCCATCCCTCAAATCACACACTAAATTACGCCAAGTAAATTTAGTAGTGAACAGTGATGGAAAGTGAACAATAGAAAGTGGATTTTTAAAATTGAAATGATAAGGAGAAAAAATAAAAAAAAATATTTCTCTCTCCTCTCCTCCACCCTTCATCCACTTCATCACAATTTTTGAGAAAGTGAATGAGGATAAAAAGTGAAGCCACTTTCCTTTTTGGTTCACTTTCCACTTACTTTTTGGTTTCCGAACACACGGCAACAAAGTTACTTAAACAAAATCCTCAGCACTAAAAGAAAATGGGAGTATGTTCTGATAAAAAAAATAGCTTGACAGGAGTAGTATCCATCCAAAATTAAAATGCATTCATATGACAGAAAAAGCGAAAGTAGTGAAAATACTGCAATATATTGGACTAAGTTTGCCTGATCATTGTAAGATCAATCCCCAAAGTCTGCTTTCGTAGCTAAACCCATTGTGTTTCTTGTAAAGCAAAAAATTAAAAGAAAAGAAGAATGATGTGCCTACTGTACCTGATCAATAACAAGCTCAATCTTTTCCTTCCATATCATAGCCTCCTGGATGTTGAATGCGGCCATCTAGTTTCAAAGGAATAAAAAATAGATTCAAGACTGTTTTTATGGAAAAATTGACAGTGCAAGAATGTCATCTGAAACCAAATATAAGGATAATGTCATCTGAAACCAAATATAAGGAGCAACAAAGACCTTCCTTACACATTGTACAGGCAATATAACATAAGGTCTACTATCCTACATAGAGTTCATGAGTAACCAATTTGAACAAAGAAAATAGGTGAGTCCACTGTAGCACAATGAAGATATAGCCAATCTATCAGAACATATAGGAGCTAGTTTTCACGTTTGTGTTGCTAATCTTCCACCTGGTAAAGTTGTATAAAAAATTCGCAGGCTGCACTCTTATAAGTTCTAACAAACAACTTAACGTATTTATGCTTTAATGATGTACTTTTTTCTCCCAGATAGAAGCTATTTTAGATTATTTTACATAGTCAGGTTATCAACCAAATAACCACATTACCATACTTTATTTGCAGATTGATCTCTTTTCGCAGCAAAGAAAATTTTAATCTATCTATGATTCTGTATCATTGGTCTAATGTGCTCATAAATAGCTAAATGCTTAGTTTGCAGTGTAATGTCTAGACATGCAGGCATTTTAGCGACATAAAAGATCACTTATTAAACTTTAATCTCCAAACCTTGTATATACTACATTCTAAGCATATAGCTAGTTAATTTACCACTATATTTATCATATCTTGCCTGCCGTTTAATTTACAGCATCTCTCACCCAGAACCCTACTTGTCCTCTGAACGTTTCGCATGATGTAACCTGCAGGCCGTTTACAATGATATTTTATGCATCAAAATGACTCAACCCCATAACATTGTTTTCATACGTTATACATCAAGTTTTTTAAGTATTGAACAATATAGAAGGTTTCATATTTTTATGAAGCCTGTAATTGTAGAATAAGTGCCAAAACACTACAAGCAAGATACAGAAGTTGGAAACCAATGTTTGTGTTATAATATAAAAATATCCCTCAAACTTCACCACAACTTTGGAGTTTTGGTGTAGTGGAATGATCTTTCAAGTTTTAACATGGTATCAGAGCAACACAAGTTCAAATACCACCGGTGAATTTAAGGTAAATTTTACCGCTGCATCTAGGGGTGCATTTGGTCCGGATACGGCTCGGATATGATGCTTACCATATCCATATCAGCTTACCCATCTCGGATACGGATACGGATATATCTCGGTAAGGAAAATTTATATCCATATCCGCTAAAATCGGATATGTTTATGGATATAGATGCAGATATACAAGCGGATATGCATGCGGATACAAAACGGATATGAGAAAAGTAGATAGTATTGAGAAAAACATAGTTCATGTGATACAAAAGAGGTCCTTAATATGTTCATTATAGCTAAAAAACTAAGATTAGACATCTTGATTATCAAAATTAATCACAAATCCATAATTTAAGAATCGAAACTATTGTAAGAGTATAATTAATGTGTATTCGGATATTTTGGATACAGATACGGATATTTCACTACAAAACCATATCCGTAATCATATCCTATCGGTTATAGATTTGAGTAACCATATCCGTATCCTAACGGATACGGTTACGGATATTTCCTCGGATACGGATACGGTTTAGCACTCCTAGCTGCATCAGTCTAGATTTTGACCCATAAAAAGGCGTTCAATCTGCAGGAGCATGTTAGAATATGAAATTACAACCTTCAGCCCTCATCAAAAACATATCCCTCAACTCTCACCACAACTTTAGAGTTTCTGTGTAGCAGCCAGTCCTTTAACAGCTTGAAACATTGACCAATTGAGTAGAAGAAAGGAAGGGCAATGTAGATTGGCATTCTAACATAAAAGTGTCGTATGACCTGTATGACCTGTACCTACTCTTTGGCTCTCCTAACAAGATGGACTCTATTAGGACGCTTCTAGACGCTATATGCTTACTTTTGTTGCACTCCCCTCTACCTAACTAGGGAACCAAATTTTGAAACTACGAGTACCTTGACACCTTGGATTAGCACTAGAACAACCTTGGCTCCTTCATAAACTAACTTTCCTTCTTCCTACTGCTGTTTATCAATGAGAACAGGAACCACCCAGCATGTCATCCTTCAGTACCATCTTCAATCAAAGATCGAAACCAATTACCAATTTATTGATTTCATGTTCTTGTTCTCTTTAAGCAAAGATGTTACATATACCTTTGTGCTCTTCCTACTCACAACACAGTATTCAATATGCAGGATCTTGTAACTAACTGACAACTATATTTGCACACTTACCTACCTTGGAAATGTTTCACGCTGACTATTGTGGGGGATTAGCTTCCGTGACCAACAAATGACCCAGTAATAATAGGATATTCAGAAGACAACCTGCTAAAATTTTTGAAGCACAGAAATTCGACTGCTAGAATTTCTGAATAAAGTCGACAAACCAACAAATTTAACATTAGCAGAACATCAGCAATTTCATATCCTTCAGGTATTCTCAAACATCATGGGTAAGAAAAATTAAAATTTAATCAAGGAAGAACTACAATGAGGAAAAAGAGAAGGCAAAGTTCACCATGTACCGTAATCCGGTCATAACTTTCTTTCTTTTTGTAAATGCTCAAAACATAAACCATCTGCCAAAAGAACAAACCAAAGTAAAGAAAAGCACGAAAATTATAGCATTATTAGGTTGAACAGATGAAATGCTTTACAGGCATAAACAGATACTAGATACCATTTCTTAATTATCATGATACAAGAGAAGAAACAGGAATTCTTAGCATTGAATCATGCCATAGGGTGATAAATCAGAATAATGGAAGGAATCCAAATGACATTGCTAAGAAGACTGAAGTTGAGCATGGATCTCAATGCGCACAAGTTATTTCTTATTTATCTTGTGAAAAGATTTTTTTTTAATACTAGTCCATTAATTTTTTAATAAGTTGAAATTGGTCCTTAATTCTTGAACTTGCCATCAAATATCATTGTCACTGCTACCCCCCAATTCTCATGATTAATTTAAAACAACTTATAAGGATGAGGGAATTCGATAGCAATTTTAATGATTTAAGGGATTAAGTTTAAAATAACTTAAGGAATTTGGAGGGAGGTAAAAGCAATTTCAATGATCCAAAGACTAATTTCAAAATATCAATGATGTAGAGCCTCAAGGGACTAATATGAACAAGACTACATATACAAATAACTTCTTCTTTTGCTTCTTTTTTTTTTTTTTTTGGGGGGGGGGGGG